TTTTCTTCACAGCAGCTAAACAAGTTCCCTGAAAACAACAGAAGACAGAACAATATGATCCTAATACAAATAATCACTTGGATAAGCTACAACTGTTGCCCTAGGCATGTGGTAAAACTGCAAAATAGGCGGCAGCGTTCCTGTATGTCCCATGTCCCACTTTTTGATGTGTAATCCACACCATGAAAACATTTTCAGGTTCCCATCTTGAAGCATGTGCAACAGGCCAGTTAGCTAAATGGGGGTAACCTTTTTTTTTTTTTCTTACTTGAATAGTTCCTTGCACAATGTCATCAGAAAGTATTCCTTAAAAGCCTGGTTCTATCACTGCGTACTAGCACATACAGAAATGAAACGGCTGACAGTCCTACTGCATTTTAGTGACGACTAAGTTCTATCTATGTTCCATTTTTTTCTTCCAAGGCTCTTTCAAAATCCTCTTGTACAATTTTTCTATACAATTTGAGCGTTACTGCTGATACAGACATATTACCTCCCCCCTTCAGAATTATTTCTGAGAAACACTGGTAGTAACAGCTGAGATGAGTACACTATAAAACTTATCCAGATGGATTTAAAAAAGAGGGAAAAAAAAAAAAAGAGACTTTTAAGCAATTACTGTAAAATATACCTTAAGGCAGTATTATCACCGGTACCTGGCCAGTCACTTTTGAAGCCAGTTGTTCTTTCTAAGAAAATATAGAGATTTGGAGAGGAAGCAGTAGTTTCTCCAGATTAAATTAACTGCAATGGTTTTACATACAACTGCGACTTTAAACAAACCCCAACAAAAGGCTCGCTTTCAACTTCTAAGCTATTAATCACTTTTTCTTTGCAGGAACTCATTCCCAGTGATCTAAGCTGGCTCACTCTAGATTAGAGTTCGTGTTCCAATTTACACAGCTGCAAAGCAGGCCAGAAAATGACTGTGCTCTCTGTCACAACATTATGGCTTATGCCACAACTGCTGAGACAACTAAAACCAGACCCCGTACAGACACGGCCACGGGGTGAAGGGACAACTCTAAGAAGGTAGCCATGAAACCACCAGCTGGAGAAACCCATCACTCCAAGCGCTGTTACTTACCAGTTGGGTTGCTAAGAGTTCTTTCTTCATAATTGACACCTAAATATTCCTATAAACTGATTAGCCACAAAGGAAAAAAAAAAAGTAATTTTGGTTGTATCTAAACCAATCCTTTAATAGATTGGAGATGGAACAGTTACTTAGCTGCAAAAGTTCTGGCATTGTTACTTGACATTAAATATTACGCTTTATTTTCTACATCTTAAATACCAGCACGGGCACCATAGCCACTATGTGATGAACTCTTTCCATCAGTTTCCCCATGTCATTTTCCCAAGTCAACTTTACAAAAACTGATACCAACCTTGGGCTGAGTTGGACAGAAAGTCTGGGGTTTGGTTTTTTTTTTCTTTAACTGAAATCGCCATCACTGCAAATTTCTTTAGAACCATGTGTCAAAAATACCTTTTAGAGAAGTTTTTAGCACTTCAGAAAAACTGCACTGAAAATAGAAAATATTTAAGAAAAGCCTACACAACTGAAATCATGTATTTGCTCGTTACCAAAATTTGTGAATACCAGATTGCAGTTACAAACTATACTTTTTGGCAGATGCTTAGCTCATTGTCATTCAGCTGTTGAACCCCAGATCCAGCTCACATCACCTAAGAGGATTACACAACACCACACAGGTTATTACTGCTTAAAGCTCGTACACCGAACTTGCTTCTTCATAATGTTTTGAATTTCTATGGATCCTTCTTTTCCAGGAAAACAGCTACACGGCTTATTAGAAGTCCTACTCAAAAATGCAATCTTTTATTTTTCACTTCCTATCACAGTGGTAATATAAAACCTATCAAGGAGAGTAAAATTTAAAAGCGCGCTGTATGAAACAATCTAGTTCTCCCCTATCTTTATATCTCCCATATTTATCAAACTTCCCCCCTCTACACATAAGAAAACATACTTGTCAATTAATAGGTATTTTAAATATTACTTCTATATTCCTGTTCTACCACTGCAAGCAAGCATTACTGAGCTGAAAGGAGTGATTTACCACTGAACTGCAACCACTCTTCAGAATTTCTCTGCCAGAAACACTAAGACACCTTTTAAGACAAGGTGTTAAGAATTTTACTAATGTAATTAATTTAGATCGATCCAAAACAACACGCTCTTTCATCCCCTGGTTAACACTGGTCAAGCAGTGTGAAGTACATCAACAGTTCACAACATATACTGCTTGTCATGCAGGGAGGGTGCAATTTAAGACCACCCAAAACATTCAATGAAATATTTGCCCTGCTGGCAAACTTCACGGAAGATGATTTTCTACAAAAGCTTGTGTTATTGTAACAGAAGCTTTCAACTTCACTGGAAGGAATAAAAGTACTCATTTTTAAGATGAATACTGCTCAGATCAGCTTTGGCTAACTACCTGTTCTGTACTTGCGGGAAACCAGCCACCCAACTGATGCCCATTTGCAAAATAAATCCGAGTAATGCAAATTTTGATGTTTGTGTCGTATCTCTCTTCCAATCAGAAAGAGTCTCAGAGAAGGTAAGGCTTAAGATTGTTTAAAGTATTTTTTAAAATAAATTTCAACAGGCAATTTTAAAGATTCTTTTGATCTAGTTTCATTATCCCATTTTGAAGTACCATCGGTTCCTTACAGAGTTTTCAGATCAAGACCTAAAATTCTGTTTACTGGATACATTTGACTGTGAGATCATCCTCCCCAGTGCCACCTCTCTAAAACTATGAAAACATCTGTAAAAGCCATGAAACAGAATATTGTGCAATGTTCAGATCCTTGAAGCAAGATTTCTTTTGCCAAAATCTCCAAAAATTTTGGTGGTTTAAGTGCTTTACCCAAGCAATACCCTTTCCTAACTGAAACATTAACACCATGACGTTAACACCATGACATATTATCAAAGAACTCTTGATTCTGCACAATGTGTTTTAGGGTACAACCATCTAGAACAAGTGTTTAGCTTGGGGGTGGGGGTGTGGCAGGGTGTCTCTTTGCTTGTTTACTCCAAATGAATACTGTTTGACTGCAATTAAAAGCTAGTACAGACACAGGAGAATTCTTACATTTCCAAGCCAAGTTTTACAAGCAAATAGATCGTCAAATGCTCTCACGAGACTGTTACTCTGACTGAATGCAGGGCATACCACCTTTCCATTGACAGCATATTTGAGAAGCGCATATGGTTAAGTCTAAATCTTGTTCAGGGAAGGAGAAGAAGAAAGATTTTCAGCTTCACCTTACCTCCGGTACATACTGTCAAAGTGAAATGATTAAAAATGAGACTGTCACCCACACAAAGTTATTTAACTCCAGGGTAAAGCTGTTTAGACAGTGGGAACAGCTTAACAATTATTTCTAAAATTATTTTTTTTATTGTTACAGAGTTCTGTTTCTACATTCCCTTAATCTTTCGAAATATGTCTTCATATTCTACTACATAGGCACAGGAAGAAGAGAATACAAAAGCTGTGATTTACCCACAAATACTATAGACTTTGGGGATGGGGGAAGGCAAGTTTCTGCCTTTCCTGTGTCTCCACACCCCCTTAGCTCTTCTTAGCTGGGGAATCTCAATTATCCAAGACCCTGGGAAGGAAATATTTTTAAATGGTCAGTAAGTACCAAAACTAGGTTTGACTTGAAGTTATTATTCTTGCCCTCAAGAGCAATAGAGCAAAGACTAAGAAATGGTACTCCTTATCACATTTTTACTGTTATTGAAGAAAACGCAGAAGTTGCAACATACAGCTCGCAGTCCACGGCAGCACTGACATTTTGTGGAGGTAAGGGGAAGTGAATCTTTCAGTTCAGATAGAAACAAGAACCAGATTAGTAAATCTGACAATTGCACACAGCAGTTCAATAATTGTTTCAATTTTACTTCAGTTCCACACCACTTACAAGTAATGAACGCAGAGCGGAGGAGCACGCCCGCCCCGCAGCGCAGCAGCAGCCTGTGCTGTATTTACTACCGATGTCCTGTACTCCCCTTCAGCCCTCTCACCACCAGAATTGCCCACAAACCCAGTTTTCCTCAGCTGGGTGATGACTACTATCACCTTACCCGTCAGCTTTCTAGGTCTGATTTCAAGCCACACTCATGCTGAATAGACTAAAAAAGAAAGTTAGCTGTTGTGCTCATACTCGAGTCTTTTCCCTACTGATGGCACTAACTGCCGTTCTCCTCTTTACCAGAACACACAGGAATTTAATGACTGATAACACTAAACTTTTGTTAAACTTAGATGAATTTGAATCAATAGGGGGGAAAAAAAAAAAACCTAAAAAAACTGATAGAAAGGTTTATGATCACACTGTCTTGTCTTTACCCCTTTCTTAAAAACAGCACTATTTTTAGTTTGATTTCCTAAGGGTTTTTTCTTTATTAGTATATTCCATGCAGGCATGTATGTTCTCTGCCCACCATAAGCCCTCCAGTTAAAAGTCCTAAGGCAAATATGATTATGTACAAAGTAACTCACTTTATAAAAGTTCATTAGTATTGCAACAATAGTAATACAATAGTATTCACCAACAAGCATCCAGTATCATAGAGATTTACATTGCATTGCTACAAAACAGCTACAAAACCAGAGCATTTCTATGAACTCCTCACTGTCAATATAATGGAAAATAAACATTTGTCTACACTGTTGGAAAAAAAAAAAAAAAAGCATTGAGCCATTCAGTCATTCCTAGCCAAGATTTTTTTGTGTAACAAAATACATTCTCACTCAGCATTAAATTTTCAAGTTTTTTACATTTTTAGTTTACAGTTCTAGCAGGTGTTCTGTTTTTTTTTTAATTTTTGGATGGGTTTTTTTAATACAGTCTGCAGTTTTAAGTTATTATTTTAAACAGAATAGATAGTCTGTAGATCAGATAGAAAACTATTTGTCAAGAATGAATTGCAAAGTAAATTATCTTTCCATTGATAGCCCACAGGGCTATTTTTTGCACTTTTTCAAAAGGTTTTATTTAAGCATACATGCAGAGAGCACATATTACATTGCTGTTGGATGTAAAAACAAGCAAGCAACCCTCCACTGCCGAAGCTGGTGGTTCACAAGTGGAGAGGAGAAAAAAGTATTGAATAAACTCTCAAGAGGCCATTTGTTTGCATAAGTTCATTTCTGAAAAATTAAGGCGTCCAAAACTGTGCTCATTTTCACCTAAAAAGTAAGGTCAATTCCTAGCATCAGCAGCTACAGTAAGTCCCACTGTCAACTAGAATGAAAAATGGCACAAAACATGCAACTAGAATGAAACATGGCACAAAAGCATTAAATACATCACATGAACTCAGATTTCAAGATAAAGGATCTTCCTGGACTTGGCTCATAGCACTCTGAACAAAGAGAAGTGCATGGATAAAGGCTTTAGACTTTGAAAGTATTAAAATCAGAACTCAGAAAAGATTTTATAGTTGGCAGAATTTTGCAAAAGCCAGAAGTTACAAATTCTATGAGTTTGTACAGAAGTTACTCTGAAGCACACAATTACTGGATTTTAAACTGCCTGACAATATTATCCAGTCTTCTTAGAGTACCTTTCCAAAGTAATTTTTTGATCCTGGAGATTAATACTTTATATAGAACATGAAATGCTGTTCTGGAACAAATCACGAAGATTGAGCAGATACAACATTAAGATGCAGCCAGAGTAACACTGGGGGAAAGTTCAGGCACTCTAGCTTTAAGTGGGCTATTAAAACTGTAGTTTAACTCTGCTCCATTTAAAAAAAAAAAAAAAAAAAAAGGAAAAAACAAACCAAAAACCACCACACAAAACTCAAAAAGAACAAAACCAAAAGAAACCCACAGTTCCCTATCTAATCTGACTTTAGAACAGAAGAATGACTTCTATATATTTTGTACTCTTTGGCAGGGCATCTATGAAACCAAAACATGTCTTGACAAATTGAACCTTTCCTGAGAAGGGTTCATAGTCGTGAACTCATTTATAATGTGTTATGTGGGAGACAACAAGTCATAACAGTTTGAAAGTCAACAACATGGAATGTACCAACAGAAGAATGACAGTAACAGTTATTTACATGTTCAGGGTAGTTAATTGTTCTTTATGCATTAGGTTTCCCCTGTATAAATTAGAAAACTACAAAAAGTCAAAATTGGGAGAAGTCCCCATTGTCTTTAAAAGTAAAAACATCTTTGCAGCACTTTCCTTAGACAATAGCGTATTGCTCGTACAAAAGGTCTCTTATCCTATAGAAGTCTTGACAGAGACAGCCTTCCAATCCAATGCGCCCTGTTTCAGTCTGAAACAAAAGACGTTTCAATTTATTATCTTTACTTAACTTTCATTTAGAATATTATTTACCAAAGAGTTGAAGACAGAGAACACCTACCCTGCGAACAGCCACCAGATTGTTGCACACAAGAACTCCTCCTACAAATTCAGCTTGTATACCTTCTCGCAACAGAACTTGCTTGAAGTCAGACAGTCTCGGCTCATTCATAAACACAGACTGATGTCCAAGGACCTTTAAATAACACACACAATTTTAATATTTTTGCTACGTAATACCTTCCATTTTTCCAAAGATCTCATCATTGTTGTGTTGGCAGCAGTGTGGCCTAGGCTACTACTCTCTTCTATAAATTAGAAGATCGGTTCTATTTCTGTTCACCTGCAGCAAGACATTTCCAGGATAGGAAGGCCTTAGAAGTCATCTGACAAGTAAAGGAAAAATTTCCTTCTTTGCTGACTTATTAATGACAAATGGAAAGCTGTCATTGAAGATCCTTCTTCCAAGCCATGTTATGCCAGGGACAGAGCTGCAACAAGCTGTACTGCCGATCAGCACGTACTTCTGTGACAGTTGCCATGAATCTGAACAGACTTCAGAGTTGTCACCACACTTACCTAGCACAGACTACATTTAGGACTGCGCAACAGTATCGTTAAAAGCAATTCTAAGATTAAAAGGCACTGTAATCGTTCAATGAAGAGATAAAATAATACCTACTCACATGCAAAGTATTTTAATTTAAGACTAAAGATAATTTTATAGAAAAGATTAATTTAATGAACTCTCAAATCATTACTATAGGAGCAGAGACATATGAGTTGCAAAGATTTCTATCTCAAGTATATGAAGTGTCTTCCACAGCATCAACAAAACATAAAAAAATCCAAGTGACTAAATGCCAACTAATTTCCAAATCTGCAAGTACCAAGTACAAATATGAAACATGCTAATTAAAATCTTATATTCATAAATAGATGGCACTGTATGCTAGACACTGTTAGTGGATGCAAGAGATAACCCTTGCAGAAAAGCATAAAATCTGAACAAAGAACAGTACCAGGTTTAACAAAGAGAAAACCAAACATGAAAAATCAAGTTTCAGTTAGACTTTCATTTGAATAAGATCACAGTATCAACCTCTAAGCAATAGAAAAACACAAATGAATACAGAGCTCTTCAAAAAAGTAGTCCAGGTCAGCATAATTTGGGTACCTCATGAGGTGGAAGAGGTTCCAAAGTAGGAATGATCTCACTCTCCTCACACATCTCCTTGTCATCATCACCGAAGAGGCTTTTCATGGCCTTCTGTTGTGCAATGACACTGGAGTCTGAGGAAGGCATATCCACTTGCATCTCTGAGTCTTCATCTTCCCTCAGCTCTCCCTCTTCCAAAATAACTCCGGTATCCACTTTCGAAACCCGCATATCCAGAACACCATCTATCCAAGCCAACTCAGCATCCTTGGCTTTACAGAACTGAAGGGAGCTGACAAGTGAATCTTTTAACCTGACCTGGGTTGCACAAAAATAAAAGTACTATTAGTTCGATGGAAAAACACAGAGAGAGTCCTTACTTCAAGCTTTAAAAATTAGCAGTTTTCCTGTCACTGTCTCTCTATATAGGTTTGACTCATACTCTTTTGGGGAGTGAAAGGAGGGAGTTGGTATCACTGTTCTATACTTTCAGAGCATAATTTGTATAACTCTCATGTCACCACTCAACTTAAAAGGCATCGGAGATCAATACCTTTTTTGTCTTGGTTTAAACAAAAAAAAGGAGAATCTATGCGACTGCAAACATGACTTAAACTTACAGAAAGAGCAATCAATTCCTCTTAAAACATCAGAAACCTTTTTTTGCAGCCAAGGAGTTCCTTAGTTGGCCTTAGCAACTTTACTTAAAGTTTCTACAGATAAATGTAGGTTACTGAACAGCAGTTCTAAATTTCAACCCTTCAAAAGATTTATAGCTAATATTTTATTTTAAGAAGGGATGTTGTAAATATCAGATTTTAAAGTGACCAAAACATTACCTTACCCTGATTCCTCTGGTGCATTCCAGGACTTTAACCCATTAAACAAAGCCCTATTCTGAAAGGCTGTTACCCACATGAGATTGCTCATGATCCCCACAGCGCAATCGAGGCTGTGACTCTACGAAGGATACTGCAGCTAATTATCCACCTGCAGCACAGTGTGCTCAAAGGCACTGGGATTCTGATGCCCCACTCACATCTATTATTTTCTAATTCAATGTTTCCAGTGTACTTCACCTGTTCAAAAAGCTTCAAGCAGGAAAATCAAACTAAAGCTACGCATAAGACTGAATTTCCCCCTTATATAAAGTTGAAATAAAATACAAAGCAACTACAATTTCAAACATTTTGTGAAAAATCACAATTGTGTAATTTCTTACACACTAGCAATCCTCACAGCTTTAAAAAAAAAAAAAAAAAGAACCACCAAAAAACCCAACAACCAACAAACCAAACACAGAAAACATCCCTGTTTTAAGGCTGTCAGAACTGGATAATTCCAAATAACTGGAACATTCCACTTCTTACAAGGCAACAGATTTTTCTCTGGAAAGAAGCAGAAGTATCTTTTTCCACAATTCTACTGATGTTTTTCTATTAACTTTAAAAGGACAGAAGGAATAAAGGACTAATGCCTAAAATGCATGTGAGAGACTTTCCTCTAAACAACTTCAAAAGCTGAATCGGTACCATACACAATTTTCAAATACTTCACACAAATTATCAAAGTTTTCTTACTCAGAGCTTAACCATGAAAATTAAATGCAATATATTAACACTGTGCAACACATTATCATAACCTCACTTTCCAAGAACCATTACATTAACCTTTTTTTGGAGGGATAGGGGTGTCATTTATTTAACATTTACTTGCTCCTAACTTTACATGTTCATTCTTAGGTACTATTTAGATACGAAGGAATTTTTTTCTCTTTGCTCTCTAAGGCTCCCCTTCAGATTCCAAAAAGAACCCTGAATTGCAAGTAGTGTACAGTGGTACTCTAAATACATGCATTATAAATCTATTCAGACTTGAGTAAAGTGAACCGATGTTCCTATGGACACGAACCTTGCCTTTTGCACTACAGGTAAAAATGCACTGATCTCATGTTTAAGCTTTTAAACACTCCTTATGAATAATAAGCACAAAGAGAATGCTTACCCAGAAGACAGAAAACCACTACCGATGTCTTAATCACACAAACCCAAGTTAACATGCAGGTAGTACCGTCCCTCCTCTCCCAAAGAACAGAAGGCCAAATTAGAATCTGCCAATACAGCTCTACTACAGTTCACAGCAGTTACACAACTAACAAATTCCAGTACCTTACCTGGTAAATGTGAGTTTCACTGGTTGCATCTACAGTTTCATGCAGTTTTGGCACGTAAACTTTAATATCTTTTCCACCAAAAGCTCTGCAACATTCTGCAAGGTCCTGACTGGCCTCAGGTGGTCCATGGACAATGACTAGTTGCCTTGGTTTCATTTGGTTAATGATTTTTTTAATTGAGTCCCCATCAGAGCGTCCTTCATAGTCAATGTATGTAACTCTGGCTCTAGTTTGAATTAAAAACCCAAGAATACTTTTTTTTAGTTTAAAAGATTAAACCTTCAAATGCTCCAAAATATTTCATTTAAAAATGAAAGGTATTTTGAAATTATTCTACATCAGCAAAAGCTGTCAGTACAAGGTATATTATGGAGCAGTAAACCACAGAATTGTCAAAGATCAGCATGTGTGTGTATTTAACACTATAAATACCCTTAATTCACTTACACAGTCATCCGAAACTTGAGATACGCACATATGAATAAGTTCTTCTTTTAACAAAATATATATACATTTGAATACCTATGTTAATATACTATTGTATCATTTGTTCTTCTTCTTTCACTCATCTCCATTACACAGGGAACAAACTGTGAATTTCTTAAGAGCAGAGAACCATAAGACTCTACTGTGCTCCCAGAAAGACTAGTAAAAAACTAACTTAGATAGCTTGGGGGAATAAAAAAAAGCCAACCAACCAAAAGGCAAGCCCTTTCCCACTTCTTTAATTCCAAGCTAGCCTTTTACCCAGTTTGCACCATACCCATGCCACCATTCTAGCAGAACTGACAAGAACAAGAACAACAAAGCCACTCACTTAATTTCCATGGATTCTGTTGCAGAAATACATTTGGTAGGAACATCTGATAAATCCTGGTCCATAGGCTCTTCTCCATTTGTCAAACCAGATTCTAATTTGCTTTTTTCTTCTTCCGTTGCTTGAAGTTCTGGAACTAGAAAATCCTCAGGTCTAAAGAATGAAAGGCATTTTGCTTTTAATAGTCTTAGAGTAAAACCAAAGCAGTACATAATACAAAAATAATCAATGCTGACTATTACTACTGAGTTATTGACAACAATTTTATTACACCTGCCTTCAATATTCCCATATTTGAAGAGAGCTCATTTGGAAAATATCACCTTCCTATCTTAAGAAAGAGCTCTGATATCTTGGGAAATACTAGCAAACTGAGGTTTTTCTAGCACATATTCCTCACACAAATAGGATAAGTACTGCTAGATTTTTCTAGGATGAACAATGTTCTTTCCCCTAAAGTTATCAAAATTAGATGTAATTTAAAGCAGAAAAAAAAGTCAGGTTAAAAAAAAATTAAATCTTCTATCTCATAAGAGAAAAGAAAAAAAAAAGCCTGGAGTGGAAACACATCCTAAGAGGTGTGAACACAGGCCAAGAATCAGCACTCTGCAGCTTCAATCCTATCATAAGCTTCCTGTGAGACTCAGCACAAACTGTCCTAACTGTTCAAAAGTTACTGTGGTTGGAAGAGTATATAGCAGTGCTGCAAAAGAGACAAAGTTATGATTTTTATTTTTATTATTTCTATTTTTTAATTATTTCATAGCTATTACATGTTAGTATGCATTACCACCACATACTTTATAATCTCGCCATACTCATCCCATTTAATTCTTTCTTCAGGGGCTGGAAACATTGGATAAGATTTCTTTGCCTGTTTGAAGAAGCTTCCTTTCCGACTACCTTCACCTTTCATCATCAAATCATGTTTGGTCTTATGTACAGTTGGCTGATCAATATCCTCTTCAGCATCGCTCTCATCACTGGAATCGATATCTGCCCTGAAATGACATTCAAAAAAAACCTAGCACTTTTTTCCTTCAGGTTTAATATTACATAAACACACCAACTGGAAAATAACAGTTGACATGACATGAACCAAGGACAAGGGCAGTTTATGTATCTGAGAAAGCGCTCACTGTCAAATGGCAGATGAAACAGGCCTATCATAACAACAGATTAAAGACAATCATTCCCAATTCCCCAGTGCCCTCAGACAAGTCAATCAAAACTACAATTTTCATTTATCCCTGTAAATGGCTGAAGCAGCAGAATGATCACACAGACACCTCAACTCTGACCACAACAACAGAATGCAGGAACAGCCAACATACTTACTCTTTAGACTGTTCTAGCTTCTTCGCTGCTTCTTTCTTCAGTTTCTCCTTTTCTAGGTATTCTTCAAGTTCTTTTCCTTCCAACTTGACACGTTTTCTCAACTGCAGATAGAATTAAAACTAGTATTACTGTGAGTAGCTGACGTGATTTTAATACTTTTCCTACACACTGCTGACAAGAATATTTGTATTTAAGTACCAAGGGCAAGTACAACTTGTATGTCACATACAAGACAAAATTACGCAAATGCGTGGCACCTTGGCACGCCAACATCATGACAACGGTATCAATTAGTAGTCTACTTTAATAGAAAAGCATTTCTAAAAGTATTAAAATCAATTTAGCTTTACAAACATTTCTTAAAACATCTTCATGAAATATCTCTCCAATAAGTGAATGCAAATACTCTGAGATGAGCAGAGTCGCTAACGTCAAACAAGAAGAACCTGGTGAAGTCAAACTAGCAGCCAAAACAATGGTAACTTTTGTTTCTTGTTTTCTGAACATCAAATTAGAGTATAGGTCACTCTGAATAATACTGAATTCTAGTAATAGTCTAATACTGTAATTCAATGCTTCCAATCCAATCTAAAACTAAAATAAAGCTGCATCATCAGGACTGAAATTATCACTGCTATCCCATAAATTAACAATGTTTACCAGAGAGAAGTAGAGACAGGTATATAAATTATTGAAAATAATGTGAAAGCATGAATAACATTAATTGTATTCTAATTCCTAGCTTTCACTTACCTTTCTAATTCTGGTGGAATATACTACACTAATCTGACTCGATTCTCCCCTCATCCCAAACCAGAGTATTTTCCAGCAAGAATAACCCATCATATATTGCGATCTGTACATTTTCTAACAAAAATACAAAGGAAAATGTTGTCTAAAGATAAATATTTTAAAGCAACTTCATGCTTGCCTCTATGGAGTATTAATTTTGCCACACCACCAAAAAGTATTTTGTAGGTCCTAATAAGAGATTTATTTTTACTTAAGTTTATCCACAATTGGTTAAACATGCAACACACTGTTTTCAGATTTCCCTTTTCCACTAGAAGCATTTTCAGTAGATCAAAAAGGAAACCAAATTCACTTTTGTTCATGTTCCCCCAGATGGCCCACAATAAAAAACTTTGAGATATACAGACAACTCTTACCTCAATATCTATAACTTTTTCAGAAGGATTATCAATCAGGAATCGTGCTAATGTTCCAGGCGTAGTGCGGTAAGTTAAGATTATAGAGTTTTTGGAATCCTGGCACCACTGAATGAAAAGATCTCTAGAAAACCCACACTCCAAGTCAGGTTGACTGGCAAGAACAACTTTCGGACTAGGCACTCTAGCCAGATCAGACAGACTATGACATAAGGACAGATGGCGGAACTGAAAAGGATTGTTTCTCTTGTCTTCAAAGCACCTCATCAACTTGTCACTCATCCATTCAACCTAAAATATGTATTAAGAAAAAGTTATCTATAAGACTACAAGTTTTACAATAATCTACTAACCTGACATGAAGTACAGAATGCAATATGCACATGATTACATCAACGCTTCTCAGTAAGTGTAGAAATAATGCTGAATGTACACAACATAGAAACAAGTACTTCAAGTCCTCTTTTTTAACAGCTATAAACTATGCTAACAAGTCTTGTGATAAAACCAGAAATGTATCAAGAAACATGCCCACAGCCATGACCGGACTCTGTGTTACTTAATCAAGAGATGTGAAACACAAACATACACTATGGAATAAGGACAACACCCAGTGTGTAGCAATTTTTTTACTGTTAAAAAAAAAAAAAAAAGCTTTTGCACACATATTCCATTGTCCTCTTCATAACTGCACTTTAAAATCAAAACAAACCTGTGATTTAGAGAACTCCACTACATTGTAGCTGACGTTATTCAAAAGCGCTAGAGAGTAGACTCCTAATCCTGCATCTTTTGTTCTCCAGATCTGATCAAGAAGTTGAGCAAGTTCAAGAACTCTGCCTGCTGTATCCACGGCTATTAATACGTTTCCATCACCTCGTAATGTCTCCAAAACATTAGCTAAGAAGAATTAAAAACAAAACAAAAACCTACTTAAACTTTGAACCAAAATTAGAATCTTTACGGCTTGTTTTTTTGTTTGTTACATCACAGTAGCAATGAACACAGAAATAAACGAAACTTCAAAAGAGATCCAAAACCGCATTCCCACCAAAATTAAAGGGAGCTGGAGTTTTCTTGGTAGTTCTGAAGATCTCATTGTTCTGATACTACTTTTTCTTTCTTTTTCTTTTTTTATTAAAAAACAACCAGTAAAAGAGAGTTTAAAGAAGGATGAGCTGAGGAAGGTCATTTAAAAATCCCTTAAGAAGAGAGTAATTGATACTGGGTAAAATACAGTGTTTTCAAATACGGTTCATTGTTTTCACGGAAGTGTTTAACCCACAGGGTCAGTACCATCAGAAGACTAATTCAAAATTTTTTAAATTTTAATAAAGATTCTTTGTTTGGATGCTGCTGAATTTCTCATAGAAAAACAATTCACAGTGGCTAATAAATCCCATTACTGCTATTTTCAAGCCCAAACAGAATACATACTCAGTAGCTGTTCATCCCTTTGCTTCCTCCTGGGTTGTACGTAAGTAGCATTAAATGAATCTGTAATAAGCAATGAAGGCCTGCTCAACATTTCCAAGGAACATCCATTCAGATGGCTGTGGAAAAAAAAGGCGAAATGTCACTTTTTTGCATTTCTGTTTCATGAGGAAAATATAAGACAGCTAGCTTCCAGATGTTTGCATGTACAGAAATCAAACTACTCAGTAGCTGAATGTTTCCTGCTTCAAATTTACAAATAAATAAAACTGAGTGGAATGAAGAAACCCAGGGCTAATGCTTGGTTCAAATGGATTAATCTGAATGCAAGTTTTTGCATTTCTGTTTCATGAGGAAAATGGATTAATCTGAATGCAAGCGAAATTAGTGGTCGTCTTAGAGCTGGAAAGGCACTGCTACTTCCATATGTGTTAATCACACACTAGATGCACACCTAACACAACATTTAAGAAATATGTATTACTATGTTGAACTTACATCTCCCTCTTGTGGTTGAAATCAACTGCATAAACAATTTCTTCCTCTCCATCCTTGACAATCTTCCAAATTGTGCCTCCTATCATGTGGCCAGCTGGCAACGGGGTGATTGACAAACCATGTCCTTTGCCTACAAAAGTTTTCAGTATTTTAGGTACATTACGTGTATTAAAATCCATTACTCTGCACAAAAGACAGTAATTTTAAACAACTGAACAGCAAAATTAATACTGGAGAAAAAAGTCAAATGAAGCATGAAAAAACAGTAAGACATCTGTCCTTCCCATCTAACCAGTAACTTCAATTTTTTTTGCAATTCACTTCTATTTTGCCTCCAGAAAAAGAAACTAAAGTGAAGATCACTTCTTCCCCACTGGTTCTCAGAGGCACTGCAGAGCTGCAGCTTTAGTAATAATTAAAATATACATTATCTTCTTAGATGCATCCATCAAGTCTTGTCAAATCACTTCCATTAAATATGAAAAAAGTGTGTTTTTAAGAAGTTGCTCACTAAAATTACTTGTAAGCTGTAAAAGTTGGCAGCACAGACATAGCTTTGCTACAAATATCTTAAAAAAGAGTCAGCAGTCTTTCAAGGATGGTATCCCATTTCTATATTCCAAATTACAGGGTAAGTATTTTGGCAAGCAGCACTCAGGAACTGGGAGATGTTGCATCTCGGAGCCAGGCTGCTGGTGGTCAGCTTGTATGTGTCTCTGTTTACAAAGAGGATTTCCATTTCATTCTGATCTTTAAATTCAACAAGAGTGAAAAGCTGCTGATTCTCCGGATGCCGCAGTTCCTAGCAATAAGCTATACTGAGCATCACTCAGAGACAGTGAAAGCCTTCTCATTAAATCATCCACATGCCGTAACTTAATCTCTGTAACTTACTCACCCTCTAAAAAGCTTTCTTTTGTGTTACTGGTTCCTAAGAGTTCTGAGGTATCTACCACTAGACATGAGCAAATGCTTTTGAGACAAGCAAATTCCAAGAAAAGTTACAAAAACCACAAAAGAGAAACAAACGTCTAAATATAATTTAGCATGACCTCCTCCTCATTAAGTGGAAATTCTATCTGTTTCCACATATACAATTACTGAGGCAAACATTCAGCGGATATAGACTGGGCTACTGAACGCAGCCCTGAAAAATGCACGTGTCAAAACTTACTCCCTTTAAAAAAAAAGTTACTTTAACTCATAACGACTCTGTTGTTTTTCACTAGAAGTCATTTATTGAAAGTTTGGTGACGACTTTACCTTTCAAGTTCACAATCTGAGAAAACTTCAGCTGTTGTATCTTATCAAAGGCTGCATCTACATCATCCAATGTAAAGAGTGTGAAATCTTCAGTATTATGGCGGGACTGAAACAAATAACAAGTATCGAGCATTCAAGAACCTGAGCACTCTACCATATCAAAGACCTTGCGTATGAAAGTATCAACTTAAATATACCTGGTAAAGATCATACATAAACATCTGTCCCATTTTATATACAGGAATAGTTGCATAAATGGCACAATTCAAGCCCATTTTTCCAACTGCATATGGAAGAGCACCAAGGTGTAGAGGGTCAGGATGAGAAAGAAGAACAGCATCAACCTGGTGTACATGTCTATAAAAAAAGGGACAACAGAAGTTGACGAAAAGAGTTCTGTATGGCATTATATGCTCCCTATTATGGCTATTCTGAGAATACATACACAGTCTAAATGCCAAACAAGAAAACTTAAATCCTTCCAGGTTTAGAACAAAGTTTTTAAAATTTTAATTAAAAGTACCAGATATTTCCAAACATTCAAGTACTTAAAAATGCAAGTGACTTCTGCAAACATAATTTCAAGGTCTGAAAGACACAAGTTTTACATTGTTCTTGACTGGAAAGACCTTAATATATACTGGGATACCAGTAGGTACATTAACTGAGGGGCCAAAAACATTATCAGTGCAGACACACTACAAATTGTTTATATATCTAAAAACCTAAAACAGACTTCAACTTTTCTTCTGATGAGAAAGACCAAGTAACAGGACCAAAGACACAACAATCCTTAAACTGATAAGGATCAAATCAAAATATATTTCTTTAAAAACAGAAAAGGTCAAATACATCATTTAAGAAAGTGGCATATAAATTTTAGGGGGTTTATTCATTTTAAAAACAGAATTTTTTTTTCTTGCAAAGCATTGCATAAAATAAGAACACAGACTAAGAACTTACTACCTATCATAATCGAAAAACTTGCAGGCATAAAACATATGCAACAAGTGAAAATACAAGTTGGGCTGAAAGTTTTTTGTTCCCTCACATAGTAACTGGGACACACATGTTCTTGATGACTGTTACAAAAAAGAGGATTTTTATCTAATTGCTTCTCAGATAAGACACTCGTAAAATTTTATAAATTATCTTTAGTACATAATAATCCTCATTTAAAAGACTTCAAACACTACAAGCGTGTCAATGTTAGAAAAGTGAATTTATAAAAACAGCATCACAAACGTTAGTTTCTTTCAGGAATTCCCACATTTCAGTCCTAACCTTATAATCAACACTGACATCAGCGAAGCTCCTTGCTGCGAACCTGCAGAAGTTCAGGATTAAAGTCTAGGCAAGTTTATTTCTTTGCAGGGCTGGAATAACTAACAGAAGCTGTTTTCCTGACTGACAGTCCATTCAACTTGAAACATGAGGCAAGAGTTGAACCACTTCTTATTCAGCCTACACACGCTAAGGATTCTTCCATTTAAAACTTAGTTAATCATTCTAAATTAGTTTAGAGCCAAGGTCAGTCTCCCATAAACACTGCTCTGTGTCATGTTTATGATAAAACCAAAACACCAAAGCCAAAACAAACAGAGAACAGTTTGAGAATTACAGTTAATAGATGTCACTCATTAGACTCACAAGAAAAAAAAAACAAGTTTTTACCAGAAATCTTTCAGCAGCATAATTCCCTTCAGATAAAACATACTTCAAACAACAACAAAAAAGAACAATTTTGGATTTAACATCATCATACACATACTATTGCATGGTATTTTGAAAACTTTCAGAAAAGGACAAGACCTATTAAAAAAAAACCAAACCAAAACTTATGCACTGAACTACTTACTTCCTCAGAGAATCAATAATATCCATAGAAAAGTTTTCATCCCAACCACAGTCCAAAAGAAAACGAAATTCATCTACTTGTAACAGATAGCAAAGGGCAGACTCCTCCTGCACCCCAGAGAGCGTAGTCAACTTGATAATCGATGTCATTTTCCTCTCCAAGTGTTTAATCTCCAAAAGAGCTAATCTGTATGGCAGAAGAAGATGTTTCACTGACTAATCCAAAAGAAAAGTCTATTTATTTCAATCTAAACTCATACATTTCTGAGAATATGCAGGATAAGAGTTGTGAATACTGCTCCATGCAGCTACTGGGTATCAATTAAGTCTCAGATACTAACTTTTGATGGATGTAGGCCTTCTGTTATTAGAAAGAGGATTTTTCTACAATAAAGCAAAAGGGATTACGCGGAGCAGCTCCGCCGGGGCCGGCCGGGGACACCGGAACACGGCGCTGCCGGGGCCGCGGCCCCTCAGGCGCGGCGGCTGCCCGGAGCGGGGGCCGGGGGGGAGGAAGCCCAGCACCGGGCAGG